TCTCTCTTTCAGATTTTACTATATTCCCTTATCTCTAGCATTCTGAAATTTCACAGTATTTCTCTCTACTGTAGTTTTTTTTCTTCATTATGCTAAGTGCTGGTGGGCCCTTTCAATTTGGAGATTTGTGTCTTTTAAAACTGGGAATTTTTTTTTCCTTTGATTAGATTCCCTCTTTTTATTTATTCTTTTTCTGGAACTTACTAAAGGGGAATCGTACCTTTGAAATTGATTTTCTAACAATCTTGTATTCTCTATGTATATTTTTGTCTTTTAGTTCCACTTATGAAACATTTGCTCAACTTTGGCAATTGATTTTACTAAATTTTGATTATCTTGTTTATAATCTTTTTTTCTGAATGTTACTTTTTATAATATTCTTGTTTTCTCTCTCTAAAAATGCTAATTATGTTATCTCTAGCATTTTTCTCCTGCCTTCTATATTATCTCTGTTTTCTCTAAGATCTTTTAATCTGTTTTATTGTTTTGGTCTTTCATATTGGAGGTTTTAGTCATATTTATGGTACTCATTGGTTGTCCATCCATATTTAAGAATGAGGCACTAAAAGGATTACTAGGAGCTCTGTGTGCTTGGTCAGCACTTGTAGGCTGGTGGTATTCACAGTATGTTCTTTACTTAGTTTTTTCAGGCGAGGAATGTCTAATCTGCTCTGAGATGGAATAAGCCTCACTTAATTCCTCTCTTTCCATTGTAGCACCTCACCTCTGTTTTGCTCTGCCTGGTATCCCTCAATCTGTTCAAGTTTTTCTATTATATCTCCCATCTGTTGCCTCTTATTCTTAGTTTAGCCCCCTTGTATTAATACAGAAGTTTGTGGGTGGAGGGGGTTCAGATAATAGTCTGGTACAGTTATTTTCATAGATATAATCATTGTCTAGTCATAAAACTGAAACTCAGTTTGATTGGATCTGATTGTTACTAAAATTTATTGGCCACTATAAATGACTATTGTCATCCATTATCTAGCTAGCTAGCTTAATTTTACTAGTTTTGATGTTAGAGATTGAATTTTGAGTTTCTTAATTTTGCTACCATGTACTGACTACAAATATCAATTCAGTTAATTGATATTAGAATTATTAAAGTACATGTTAAATATTATACTGTTTTTAAAAAATATTTAAAAATAAAATTTGTTTCTCTCCTTTTGAAAATTAGATAATTCAAAAATGGCAGAACTCTTTATGGAATGTGAAGAAGAAGAACTGGAACCATGGCAGAAGAAAGTAGAAGAAATTCAGGATGAAGAAGATGATGAGCTGATCTTTGTCGGAGAGATATCAAGTTCAAAACCAGCCATTTCAAGTAAGCATTTACTTTCAGTGAAGTAAAGTTTTATAAGATGTTCTTTCTAATACAAACGTTTGTGGGTTGTCTCATATGTCACTGTTACTCTGTAAAGCCTAGTTCTTGCTTCTCTTGACTCTAAACTTCTGATAGCACTCTATTCAGTTTTATCAGAAATAGAATAATGTATTTTAATTCCCATGATTTCTTGTGGCAAATTGAAAGGTGCTAAGTGGAGTGCCACTTCAATTATAAAATGAACAAGGCATGTTATCATGTTTGTTAATAGTGGAAAAGAATATTATATTCTATTAATTATTGTTTCCTAGTCACTATGATTATTTTTATACTGAAATATTACCATATTTCAAAATTATTATTCAAATCATCTTATTGAAAGTATGACAGTTCAAGTTGGATTTATATCAATTGTAGATAACTGTTAACAGTACTTAACTAGAATAATGTGTATTAGTTTTAAGTGATTCTATCAAAAAGAAAGTTGACCCTAGTGAAATCTCTAAATTAACTCAGAATTTAAATGATCTTATTAATGTTTTATATGTGAGCCATAAAATATTTTTAGCATATGGAACCTGAGGTAAATATTTACAGAACCACCATAGAGGGTATTAAAAACTTGTGTTTGATAGACTACTGTCACCTAAAAGTATTATAGGAATAACTCTTTAATGGCTTGAGTAAATACTTATTTTGAATTTCTAAATGAAACAATATCATGTTGTTTGAATAAGTAGATTTTTCTCTCAGAAGATTTCTGTAGTGCTTAGTCATAGAGCACTGCATTTCCATTATCATAAAACAACCCTACTTTTGTGACACTTTACCTTATAGAATTATTTTATGAGATCTGGTTCTTTTCTTCTAGGAGGAAACAAAGGAAATTTTTTGAGGTTTTATAGGATTTTTAATGCTTCATATCTTTTCCTGATTAGCAATTTTAGGCAGATCTCTACTCTTCCAAATTTTCATTTGATTCCTCAATAACCTAGAAGTTATGGGTTCACATGGGTACAAGAGTAAGCAATCTTAAATTGATCGAGATCTAGGAAGCTAAGCAGGGTCAGGCCTGGTTAGTACTTGGATGGGAGACTACCTGGGAATACCAGGTGCTGTAGGTGGTTTTAAAAAATTAAATTAATCAAGAAGCTCATGTTAGGCTCAAATTTATTTTGGGTATAGCATTAAATTTTAGATACTCTGGAAAACTCTAGGTCTTATTTAGACTGCAGTCTCTGTAGTGTTCTTTTCAGAACTCCAGAGTAATGGCACAGATAATCCAATCAGCTTGCCCATAATGAAACATCCAGGCTTTTAAGGGTAGTGATACGGCATAGGGATTGGGGAAAGGTTTGAGTCGCAGGGACCCAAGTCTATATACAGTCTATCACCATTAAGATAAAGAAATATACTTCAATTATTGGTTATATATGGATATATTTTGGAAAGTTTAATCTGTTATCTTAATATATATTTCATTGAAATAAATTTTAAAATAAATATAATTTTATAGATATTTTGAACAGAGGTAACGCCAGCTCATCTTCAAAAGGAATAAAGAATGAGACACTCAATCAAGGTAGACTATTATACTATTTTAATTTTAAGTGAAATATTTTGACAAAATTGGTTGTATAGAAAATATTCAATATATTGTGTAATTTTAAAATACAGGTGTTACTGATGCATTCAAGCCTACAAGTCAACACTACAAAGACCCAACATCAAATCCAGTGGCTGCCTTACCTAGATTTCATCCTGAATCTAAATCTTCACATAGCTCTGTTATTGTTCAGAACGTGTCTAAACCTGTAAGTTTTTCTGAAAATACACAACTAGCTCAGGGACACATTGGATATTAGAATACCCAGTTAGAATTGTGGACTTATAGCTAGTCACCATTTCAGTAGAGGCATAATTACTATAAGAAAATATCACCGTCTTTATGAAAGCTCAGCAAATACCCAGAGTAATAAATGCAGGAACTAACTATCCAACCTGTTAATAAATCAGATAATTATATTTAGTTTAATTTAAATAGATATAATATTGATAGCTGCACTATCTAAAGGTAAGTTAAAAAGTATAATCAGTAATGAATGTTGCATTATGGCAAAATTCTTAAGATAGTAAATTGAACTAAGTATTCTGAATTGGAACATTGTTCTCAGATCATTGTCTATTCTGAAAACATGCCTTCATAGTTTAGTTTTTAAACTTTTTACTAGATAATGGTAATATTCAATATTCCTTAGACTGTTAATATGGGTCCTTTTTTTGCCCTAAATGCTATATATAAATTAATCTCATTTAATTCTTATGACTTCTCTATGAGGTAGGCACAATAATTATCCCATTTTATAGTTGAAGAAACTGAGGCTCAGAGAGGCTAAATAATTCACTCAAGACCACACAGCTGGTAAATGATGGATCTGAGATTGCAATCCACGTTAGACCACAGTTTCAAAAATATGCACAACATCTATCCATACATTTAAGTCTATATACTTTAAAAAAATAGAAGTAATGCCTTAAGGCAGCATAGATTAATTGGGGTTCCCTGAGACTCTTTCAGAAGTCCATGAGGTTAAAACTGTCGTCATAGTAACACTGAGACATTTGCTCTTTCACTTTGTTAATATTTACACTGGTGATGCAAAAGTAGTGGAGGGTAAAACTGCTGGTACTTTAATATGAATTAAGGCAATGGAACAGAATTGTACTAACAGTTTTTGTACTAGTGACCCCCGAGCACCCACAGTAGAAAAATTGACTTTTATTTAAGAATATCCTTGAAGAAGTAATATTTTTTACTAATTTTATTAACTCAACCCTTGAATACACTTTTTAATGGCATGCCATTTTTCCTTGAAAGGATAACTGGCAAAGCACCGTGAATTAATTATTTATTCTGCATAACAATAATACCACAAACTTAGCAACTTAAAAAATATATACACGTATTATCTCATGGTTTCTTTGAGTCAGGAGTCAGGGCATGGCTTGACTGGATCCTCTGCTTCAAGGTCTCACGAGGCTACAATCAAAGCGTTAGCCAGATCTGCAATATCATTTAATATGGCTTCCAACATCACTTGGTTGTTGGTGTTATCCAGTCCTTTGTTGGTTGTCAGACTGAGGACATCAGCTTCTTGCTGTTGTCAACCGGAAACTACCCTCAGTTCCCTGCTATGAAGGCCTTCCTATCATGACTAGTTGCTTCCTCAAAAACAGCAAGGTAAAGAGTCCTCAGCAAGATGGGCTGTGTAACAATCATACATCTCATCAATATTTTATTGGTTAGAAGCAGTCACGAGTCTCATACATACTTAAGTGGAGATTTCACAAGTGTATAAATATCAGAAGGAAATCATAGGGACCACCTTTAGAGTCTATCTGATACATATAGTTTTTCAGTCTTCAAAAATGTACAAAGTGTGCCTGTCACAGAAAAATACTAATAGTATCCTTGCCAATGAGAAACCTTGAGCTTTCAAGCAAAAGTTAGAATTTTGGTAAACTTGTATCTGTATTCTGAAACATCTATCAGTAATGGTATGAGCCCTTAGTATTTCAAGAAACCTGGTTTAAAAATGAGAGAATTGAGTGCTGATTCAGTCTTTGATCCTAAATAGAGCATTGTCACAACTTCTCCGGGCCTCACTTTCTTCATTTCTAAAATCAGAACCTCTACCCAGACTGTTGGCTCTCAAACTCTAAGATATTCTAAGCATCCATAGGCTGTTTTTAATGTTTTTTTAGAAACTTCATAGGTATACCTGAAGGTGGCAGGCTACCAGAAATACAAAAAAAAATTATTTGGTTTTAACTGGAATCAGATTAACTCACTGGTTTCTCACGCTATTAATAAGCTGTTTGTCATTTGGAAATGGGAGGACACTCATCATTTAAATGCAAATAAATGAAAATCATTCATACATTGGACCCATGGGGAAAGAATAATAAAGGGTGGAGGGGTGGTATCTTTCGTGTTAGAAAAGTTAGAAACTAGAGTTCATTCAAACTCAGAATTTTTATTTCTGTGGGCATGATGTTTTAATCAAAGCTTCTCAATCAGGTTGCCAATCCTGCTTTAAAAAAATAAAGGTTTTTTTAAAAATAAAGATTTTTGTCAATCAGTGTGTGGTGAGACCTGGGTATGATTGATTTTTTAAAAATTTAAGGTTCCTTTAATGTGCAGCCAGAGATGAGAAGGACAGATATATATAGATATAGATAGATATAGATATAGATACATACATACATACACACACACACACACACACACATATATATGTATATAGACATACACATATACATACATATGTGTATATGTATACATACAAACACACACACACATGTTCTCAAATGAATTGAGAATCTTAAGTAAGGAAATAGTCTTTGAAAATTTTAAACTTTTTCATTCTCTTTAGCTCAACAACTCTTTTGGGGAAGCAGAGAGATAATTATTATTCCTTTTAAAGTCAGCAAGATATAGCTTAAGGACACAGGCTTTGTAATCAGGCCAGCTTAGGTTTTAATTCCAGCTTTATCATCAATAACAAGCTGGGTTGTACTAGAAACCTCACTTAACCATACTTAAGTTTATCATTTATAAAAGGGAGATAATATTCGGTCTTTATTAGTACTGTTGTGATAATTACTTGATAAAATGCATGTACTGTGAAAAAGGCAAGTACATTTTAAATGGACAATAATTGGTAACTTATTTCATTTGTAAAGGAAAATAACTTGAATCTCAGAAGGGACTTGCCCAAGGTTTCATAGTTAAATAAATGGACAGGTCTTCTGAATCCCAGTCTATTGCATATTGTACCTTACCCCAGGGTATTTTGTATCTTTCTGAACTATTTTATGAGATATAAAAAATTCCCAATTGGAGAATTATTTTAACGTGCTATTTGTCGAATAACGTGTTTGCTCTCTGAAATGGTGGTACTTAATTAAACAGAGTCATCACCGAGGAAAGGGTTTAAAGTATTAACTTTATTTGGAGGAACTAATGTTAAAGAACTATTTTGGACATTGCTAGTGAATAATTTTCATTTTTAAGGGCAAATATTCAGAGAAAATATTTACCCTGCAGTAAGATTGTGCTTGGTTACAGTAAAGTAATATAGCCATTGTTGATTTTATATAATACACATTCAGGCTCAAATGTTTTGTCATTGGATATTTTTCAAAAACATTAAGTCTGTCATTTAATTTATTGAACCATTCTTCTATTGTCGAACATACAGGTTTTCATTTTTTGCTATAATAAATAATTCTCCATTAAATATTTCCATTTCCTTAGCATGAATTCTCAGAAGTGGAATATTTGAAATAATTGAGTCAAAAGATATGAACTTTTTAAAGCCCTTGATAGATAACTGCTAAAATTTTCCTACAGAAAAGCTTTGCCAAAATATAACCTCTACTTTGCCAATACTATTATTATTTTTGAATTTTAACTTTTTACTTCAAAACAATTTTAGATTTCCAGAAAAATTGTAATAATCTAGAGAGTTCTCTATACTCCTTACCTAGTAGATGCTAATTTTGACAGTAATAATTACCTTTGTGTTTTATAATTTATTAATAGTTGAATCTATAAGGTTATCTTTATAGTATTGGCATATAGTTAAATTTACTTTTATAAAAGTTTATGAAACAAAATAATTATAACTTTTTACAGGATTTTACAAAGAATTCATCACAAGTTGAATCGGATGATTCTTCAGATTTACTGTTTGACTTGACCCAGGATACAACACCACTGTCCCAAGAGGGATCAACAATTTATATAGAAGGTTTGGTTTAGCACTTTTTATAAATAAAAGGAAAACTTGAATACACATATGGAATGAATTTCTATTTTGAAGTCCATACCTTCATGTTAAGTTTTTCATATATTGTAAGACGAAAGCTAATAGTTACTGAATGCCTTTCTTGGGTGATTTTATATAAAATTGTATTTAATAATAGAATATTTTATTTCTATTAAGTTGGCTAACATGTATTCTTTGAGCTCATTCTCACTTGGAACCAGCCATGGGCTGAAAAGTCTTAATATAATTTCTGTGAATCAGAGAAGTCCCTTGATGCCCTAATACTATGTTTTTGTTTTTGTTTTTTAAATATTAAATGTTTGGAAGGTCATTAGTATGAGGAAAAGTGAATAGTTATGGTTAATTTCTTCATAGGCTACTTTATGTCTTTCTATCCAAATAAATGCTATAGATGTAATAACTAAATACGATTAGAGAGTAGTATTATAAAATGATAGTACTAAAGAAATAGCAATTCGCACATACTAAGTACTCAGTAAATATCCATTAAAGGAATAATCAAAATGTCCAACTGGAGAAGAATTACAGTTCTTTGATTGTATACCATAACAAAGTTTTTCATTATCATGTAATAAATTAGTATGCCTTAAACGAATTTTACCTAGTTGAAAAAGCCCTATAATCAAAAGCAATTACTATTTCTATATTAACAAATTTTATATATTTCACTAAATGGAGCAAGGTACACAAGAATTTTTACATGTTTAAATTGTTTAACTAACAAATTTGTATGCATTTGCCAAACAAAAATAGTAAGAAATTTATAGTAATATGTGTACCAAAAATATTTCCCCATTTTGAAAATACTTGGTTTGATATTCACCTATCTAGGTGTCACTTACATAGTTAGTAAAATAGCCAAGAACCAAAATAAATGAGATAAAATATTCGAAATCTGAATTTCTAAAGCACATGGTCTTTATTCATAGAAAAAGCCAGAATTCTTGAAGCTTCTTGGGAGTAAAGACAGTGACTCTCTCTATAAAGTCGTAGTACTACAAGGAGTAGAACTTTGCCGTAATGATAAATAGGGTTATAGTTGATTAGGAAGATAGAGGTTTCAGCCTCTATTCTAAAGGCTTTTGTGGCCTTTATTGAGTCAGCTAACCTCTTTACACCTAATTTTTTCATTATTAAAATATATACTTTAATTCATTCATTCTTCAGACCTAAAATCAGCTGTTTGGCGATATAATTTTATCTGCTTATCTCAGCTTTTATGAGCCTCAAGTGAGATAAATAAGTGAGAAATGCATTAAATCCTTAAAGGACTTGACAGTAATTCTTAGCATGATAATTATGAATACTAACATGTGCTATGAGTTCAAAAGAGTGATTAATGGACTTCTGTCTAGGATGATCATAGAAGGTTCTTGGAGAAAGCTGGATTTGAACTTGACCAAAGAATGAAAATAGGATTTTTATTGGTACCTTTGTGGATAGTGAACAGCACAAGCCAAAGGCAACCAATATAAATAAGTCAAAGCGTCAGAATTTAAAACTATTGAGCTCAGAGTAATTTTATTTAACTTAATTTTATTTAACTCATGCTTTAAAAATTTGTATATCAGTGGACAATTTGGTGACGGACGGAGAGGAGGGGGTTTGTGGGGCTGGGAGAATGAGGTGAAGGATTAAAGAAGTACAAATTAGTAGTTGATAGTTGGTCATGGGGATGGGGAGCACAGCAGAGGGAATACAGTTAGCATTAATATGATGGCTAAGTGGAGGGCCAGGGGAGAGAGGGAGCAATTGGGGGGATCGTTTTATGGACAACATAGATGTCTAACCAATATATTGTATACTTGAAACTAATTTAAATAAATTTATATTTTTTAAAAAACTTGTATATAAAACAGTCTATTTTTACTATACAGCCTACTAGATAGATAATCAGTTACCTAGTCCAAAATACCGGCTGTCTGGTTTTTCAAGTAACCTAAACATCTGAGAAGAATGTTAGTGTGATTATGCAGAAATCAGTCCCGTGTGCCTGCAGTATAGCTGTCAGTAATCATGTGCTTAAAGATGGAAAAAGTCACTTCTACATTATCTCAAAGAATGAAACATAAATTTGACAAAAGAGCTCACTAATATAATACTCTTATTTTCCTAGCTTATATCTATTCTACTACTATTAGTGAACAGTTGGGAGAATTAAAATACAATCCACAGTTTTAGAATCTTTATCACAAAGTATGATTTTGTGTTACTTTCTAAAGGACTTTTGCTGGGTCTGGTTGCCCCACTTCTCTTGCAAATGCCCTGAATTATGTAATCCTTTAGTCTTTAAGATGATGGTTTTCAAACTCAAAACTTCTTAGCAATGAAATCTCTATTCAAACAAAATTTTATTTAAACATCTAATTTAGAAAAAAAAGGTAAAAGGGGAGTTTCTCTGTCTGACATGCCCACTATATTCCCTAAGATAGAACCATTAGACTCAGGTGGACATAGTTTTAAAGCCATTATACTAACTCCAAACTTTTTCATAAGAATCAGTGAAGTACTGCCATTCAAGATTAGTTGTTTCTATTTTGTAAATAGGGAACCAACTTGAGTTTTCCATTAGACAGCTTAAGTATTTTTCCATTAGACAGCTTAAGTATTTTTTTAAGTATCTTAAAGGGTTTCTCTAAATTTTTAGAATAGAAATTGTTTTTGTTTACAAGCTCAAATGTATTTAAGCATCTTAAGATAAATTCATTTTTTGTAACCAAGCTTAGAGTATTCACGGCGCTTTAATTTTTTTTCTTGGAATATATATTTTTTTTTGGTTTGACTTTTTTCATGGTACCTATTTATATATTTATTCAAAGGTGTCTTTAGAATTTTCATTTGCATTAAAAGTTTATTTCATGAGAAGAGTCTATCCAGGTCCTCTGCCCATTTTTTTAAATTGGATTGTTTGTTTTTTGTTGTTGAGTTGTATGAGTTCTTTATATATTTTGGATATTGGCCCCTTATCAGAGGTGTTGCTTGCAAATATCTTCTCCCATTTGGTTGGTTGCCTCTTTATTTTGTTGATGCTTTTCCTGTGCAGAAGCTTTTTAGTTTGATATAGTCTCATTCATTTATTTTTGCTTTTACTTCCTTTGCCTTTGAGATTAAATTCATGAAATCTTCTCTAAGACCAAGGTTCATAAGTTTAGTACCTATGTTTTCTTCTATGCATTTTATATTTTCAGGTCTTAAATTTAGGTCTTTGATTCACTTTGAGTTAATTTTTCTGTATGGCGACAAATAACAGTCTAGTTTCATTCTTTTACCCGTGGCTTTCCAAATTTCCCAGCACTATTTATTGAACAGGGATTTTTTTTTTTCTCCATTGTATGCTTTTGGCTTTTTTTTACTCACAGGCACAGAAAACAGTTTAGTGGTTACCAGAGGAAAAAAGGGGGGCAGTAGAAAAGGGTAAAGAGAGTCAAATACATGATTACAGAAGATTTGACTTTGGTGAGCACACAATGGAATATACAGAGAATGTATTACAGAATTATACACTTGAAACATATATAATTTTATTAACCAATGGCACCACAATAAAATAATTTTTTTTAAGTTTACTTCATGACTTGTTCAAATATATGTAGTACATAATAGCTGTTTGCAGTTTCTACCTATTGATCATATAAATTTTGATCATTTTCTTTATTGTCATTTGTATGATGTGATGATTTAATTATATTACCTTTAATTTAGCTCCAAAGCATTTTTACTTAATTTTAAAGGTAAGGCTCTTTTAGCAGCATTTGTAAGCAATGTTCTATACTAAAGCATTTAAAATATCTTTTTCACTATTTAAATTATTGTAGCTCTGGATGAAACTCTGCCTATAATAAAACGTCCTTCAGCTTCTAAAGTAAACAAAATCAATTCAAAAAAGCCAAAGACCAGTGAAGATGTTTCTGAAATAAATTCTTGTGCTTCGTTGTCTTTAGTCAACTCTCCTTTGGTGACATCCTCCCCTGTTATGATATCAAAAGGTAAATATGAATCTGTTATATAAAAGAGAAAATATTTATGCATAAGTTTTAGAAATTGCAATGAACTTTAAAACTATTATTACTGGTTGTTTAAGGTTTAAAAAAGAAAAGTTTAAATCATAAAAATCCTTAATTTATTTTAGGTACAGATACCTCATCAATTGAACATAAAACTGGAATGCCTTTTCAAAGATCTTGTCCAAAGTGCAATGTTCAGTTTAATCTTTTGGATGCTTTGAAATATCACATGAAGGTAAAATTTTCAAAATGTAATTTTTAAAAATATTCAAATTTCTGAAAATATTAAGGATTGATATATAGTAAATGCTAGTTGATCCAGATATTTAGATAAGAAATCGTATTGGTATTTTCATATAGCTTAAGTAAAATTTGATATTCATAATGATTACCTTCATACAAGATTTAAAAATCCTTCTCAAGCATCAAATTTTGAAAATTATGTGTATATATACACTACAGTATATGCATATTTTAATTTTTAATGAAATACAATAGGCAATTAGTTGCTTTTATTTATATTGTACAATTCGATGAGGTTTTTTTTTCAATTATAGTTGCCATGCAATAATATGCCAGTTTCAGTTTTACAACATAGATATCAGAGATCCACATAATTCACAAAGTAGTCACCCCATTAAATCTAGTACCCCTGTTCCCCCTTACATATTTATTACAACACTATTAACCATCTTCCCCCATGCTGCACTCTACATTTCCATATCTATTCTGCAACTATCCATTTGTACCTCTTAATCCCTTTGCCTTTTTTTTTGTCTCCCCAACCCCCCCATCTAGTATCCCTCTAAATATTCTTTGTATCTCTGAATTTATTTCCACTTTTATTGTTGTTGTTGTTTATTTTGTTCTTTAGATTCCACATATATGTAAAATTATGCAATATTTGTCTTTCTCTATCCCATTCATTTCATTCAGCGCAATACTCTCTAGGTCCATCAAGGCAGTATCTTTTTCCATTCCCTTCTTTTTAGTGTGTGTCTTTTAACCTGAAGTGAGTCTCTTATAGGCAGCATATGTAGGGGTCTTGTTTTATTATCCATTCAGCCACTCTGTGGTTGGAGCGCTTAATTCTTTTCCATTTGATGTACTTGTTGATAGGAATGTAGTTATTACCATTCTTTATTCCTGCTTCTCATACATGTTTTTTCTTCTTAAGTCCCTCCACCATTTCCTGTAATACTGGCTTCGTAATGATAAATATCTTTAGCTTATTTTTGTCTGGGAAGCTCTCGATCTGTCCTTTAACTCTAAATGGTAGCTCTTCTGGATAAAGTATTCTTGGTTGTAAATCCTGGGTTTTCATCACGTCGACTATTTTGTGCCAAGCTCTTCTGTCCTGCATAGTTTCTTTTGAAAAATCAACTGCCAGTCCTATGGATGCTCCCTTGTAGGTAACTAACTGCTTTTCTTTTGCTGCTTTTAAGATTCTCTCCTTGTATTTAACCTTTGGCATTTTAATTATGATGTGTCTTGGTGTGGGCTTCTTTGGGTTCCTGGTTTTAGGGACTCTGTGCTTCCTGGGATTTTATGTCTATTTCTTTCACCAGGTTAGGGAAGTTTTCCATCATTATTTCTTCAAATAGTTCCTCAATGTCTTGTTTTCCTTCAGGTACCCCTATGATGTAGATATTTTTACCTTTAATGGCATCCCATTGGCTCCTTAAATTATCATAATCTTGGCTTCTTTTTTCTTGCCATTCTGATTGAGTGTCCTTGGCTTTCTCATCCTCTTTATAAGTCATTTGATCCTCTTCTTTATTCACTGTGTTCATTCCATTTAATATACTTCTCATCTCAGCTAATATGTTCTTCATTTCTGACTGGTTCCCTTTTATAATTTCCATTCCAATTTTTATGTTTTTTCTCTCTTTGTTAAACTTCTCACTGAATTCATCTACATTTCCCATAAGTTCATTGAGCATCTTTATAACCAGTGTTTTGAATTCTGCATCTGTTAGATTACTTGACTCAATTATTCCTGGATCTCTGTTCTCTTCTCTCATATGGTTTCTGCTTCTTTGTCTTTCCATTTTGGCTGCCTTTCTGTGTTCATTTCTATGTACTAAGAAAAACTCTTGCCTCCCGGTCTTATTAGTGTGGCTTTGTGTGGTAGGAGTCCAGTGGCACAGTCCTGAGAGGAGTTCAGCTGCAAGCCAAATTTAGCCCCACCCTGTGCCCCTCCGGGTCTACCTGTTAGATTCAGCAAGCAATCCACAGATGCTGTGCTTATAGTTGCCTCAAAAGAGCACACCAGAAACCGAGGCCAGCTGCCACCAGTGTGAGTCTAGGCGCTGCTCAGCAAGGGGCACCTGGCTAAGGGAGGATGCACCTGGATGTGGCTTGGGTAGGGCCGCAAGTTGGGGGAGACAGAGTTTCAGAGAATCCTCTGGATGGAGTGACCTCTGTTATCCAGTTTGATGACTTCTCTGCTATGGCACTGTGTCTGCACACTGAGAGTGGGGAAGGCTCAACAGAGGAACAATTGATACCACCAGCACTTTTGCCTGGGAGAGAGCCTTGCCTCCGGCCCTCGCTCCAACAAGTCAATGTCCTCCTGTAAGTCCCTGGTGTCCCCTGCGCAGCTGAACTTGCCCTGGTGCTCAGAGTGAGCAGGTCCATCACCGCAAAAGTCCACTTGCGGACACGGCCCCTTTAAGAGGAGTCTGCAGCTGCCGCTGCATCCATCCCAGTCAGCTGCTGGGAACCGGGCAGCCTCGTGTCCTCACCCCGTACTACCTTCTCCTGTTGCAGAGTGATTTCTTCGATTTCTCCCTAGTCGTATGGCTTATTCATCGAGATCTCAGGCGATTTTCCTTGCTATTTGCTCCTTGTTTCTGTCACAACTTTGATTTGGTCGCCAGAGGGATGAACAGAGCCTCTATCATCTATACCATTTTTTCTTCCTCTCAGATCTATTTTTTAACTTCATTGTGAATGTACCCTTTAGGATTTTTATAAAGTGTTCCTTTTTTTTTGGCCTGGATTCTATTTTGTTTGATATCAGGCTCACAACCCTTTCTTTCTTATGTTCATTTTCCTGTTATATTCTTTGTTTACCTTTTTATTTTTGACTTCCAAATCATTTTGTTTTTGGTAGTTTCTTGCTTTTACCAGAGTTGTTTTTCCTTTTGTCTTCCTACACGAAATTTCTTTTTTTTTTTTTTCCGGTGGTTGAGTTAAACATATGTATTCATTGACAAGATAAATTTAATTGGTCTGATAGGTTTAATTGGACTTGATTCTGTTATAATTTTTGTTGTGCTTTATTTTTTTAAAGGCTTTCACTTTGTGGTTGCTTTGTGTGTACATAATTGGTATTTTTAGGAAAGTTTGTTTTTTTGCTCTCTAGTTATTCTTAAAGAATTCTTCTAGAGAAATTCTACAACTGAAAATTGTTTATAATAAGTGAATTCATTTTATCTCATTGGAAATAAAAAAAACTCATGTATGAAAATATTCTCCATTAAAGTCAGTTTACATGTGGTCGTGATTTTATTCATGAGATAGATTTACCCTTCTGGTATTTCAGCATTCTAGATAGATTGTGCTGAGGTTTTCAAGATGTAAGTGATGATTCTTTCTTTGTGTCCCATACATTTCCTAGCACCTTGTGGCTGGTTATCTGTGCTTAAAGTCCAGTTCCAACCAGGCTTTACTGAACTATTATGTTATTTTATAATTAACCATAATAATGGTGTATAAAACTACCATTCCATTTAAGGTATATCTTGACACATGAAATGTATGTTGTTAGCCAAGGGACAAATTATGATTAAATATTTACATCTGAAAAGTTTAATTGCAAGGGAAAATGTTATATAACCATCCTTGATCTTAAGGTTTTTGATTTGTTTTTGAAGTTATTTCTCTATTAAAATAATAGGTGTGTATTGTTTGAATTTTTTAGACTACATAAAGAATGAAGCCAACATTTTGGTGAATATCTTTCCAAATATATTTGAAGCATAGTTTTACATGAGCTGGCCCTAATTATAAACACAGAGTCATTTTTAGCATCTAATTTTTAAAAGAGATATAAATAAGGCTCATATTTTTTCTTCCTCTTCTAGTGTTGTTGTCCAGACATGCTAAATCAGTTTTTGGAAATGGTTAAAGTAGAAATTTCAAGTACTGAAAATAAAGATAAAGCTGGTGCAGAGAAAGGAAAATTGATCATGTTAGTTAGTGACTTTTACTATGGAAGACATGAAGGAGCTGTTGACGATGAACAGAAGACTTACACGACCTTTAAATGCTTCAGTTGCTTGAAAGTTCTTAAAAATAATATTAGGTATGTAAATATTTATTTCTATTTATGTTTGAAATTAGGATGCTACAGATGCAAATATTGTATCGTTATTTTTCTATGTCATCCTACATAAGCGATAATACTTTGTACAAAGAACAAAGGCAGATTATCATGTTGAAAAGCTTTTGTCCTTTCTTGTATTTTAGGAGTTTGACAGTTGGATCTACTTAGTTGCATTTCTTTGAAATAACTTAAAGACGAGATTTATTTTTACCTAAGAGAAAATCATTTCTTTTTTCTATATTTATCATTGAACTAGAAGCCTTCATGAGACATTTGTATTTTTTAACAGCTTTTGAATTTTACTTTTCCTATCATGTGAAGAACCTCTTTATCCAGTTTGACCTCCTCTATGCTAGTCTTATTTAATGCTCTAATTTTTCATTTCGTATTCACAATTTTTAGTACACTTACCTTGCAGAGAAAATTATCTTCTTTGGTGCTCTTTAGAGGAGTACCAGTTCTATGAAACATGTCTACTTTAATTTTATAATTTAGTACATTTTAAAAGTAAAGATTTAATTCTCAGTGGAATTTTGAAAGTTCATACATGTTATGCTTTAAATTTTAAAAACTTGTACTTTGCAGTCTGAGTTGTATGGCATATTACATATCTATCATCTTAAGTGAGAGAGTAATGAGAGCAAAGTAACAAGACATATTGATTGGTATTTTTTATTGGTTATACTATACAGTCTGACACTTTTTCCAACACTATATTATAAAAAATATTAAATATTCATCTAAGTTGAACAATTTTACAGTGAACATCTATATATTTACCACCTCAATTTTACCATTAGCATTTTATTATACTTGTGTATTTATTCGTCCATAGACCCACCTGATTTTTTTTATATACTTTTCAGAGTAAATTCCAGACATCAGTGCACTTTTCTTAGGTGAGATACACATATGTATATGCATATATGTACATATTGTGACACGCATACACATAAACTTTAAAAATATACTTATCTTTGATAAACATTGTTTGTAACTAATATTCATAAGCATCATATAGGTCATTTCTAAGCCTAGCATTTATTTTATTTTATGATAAATTCTTGGGTCCAGAATGAAATACATATAAAAACCCTGAAATATACTGTAATATAAGCCTAAAACTAAATTATGAATGTTATGTTTAGAGTAGTGCTTTATAGTTTTCCAAGATTTTTCAAATATTAGTCATATGAGTTTTCATACTTCTTTACCTCCTTTTTATCAATCTCTAACAGCCATCAATTGCTAACTGTCCCAGTAGTTTAACAGAAGAGAAATTATGCTTTGAGATGTAACAATAATAGAATTCCGTGACCATTATCCATATTTTTACCATTTTTACAGTAAAATACATCAGAAAATGTTAGAAAATGTTGTAGAATGCATAGAAAAGTGGTTCACTGGTTTATGTTCCTTATTATATTTAAATATTATTCATATAAGATTTGATGTTACTTTAGCAATAGCTTTTTGGATTTTCCTTTAGGATTAGCCATTGAATATTAAACATGAAGTTTTCTTTTTTTGTTTTCCTGTCAAGACTGGTTATAGAGTTCTAGTTTATCAGAATATCTAGAAATTTTAAGCTAACCATATTTTATAATATCTAGGAATTTTATAGCATTTTTAACATATTATTCGGTAAATGAAACCTAAACAGTAAACACTGTTATATATGTTAAATAACATTTTACCTTAGTGGTAAAAACTAGGGTGGCAAATTAACAGTTTTAGAGAATAATAGAAGCTAATAGTTCAAGATTTCTACTCTCTGCTCTGTCAACATGTAGAATATTTCTTTTTCCTACATTGAGTGTCACCAAAACCAGGTAGGGCTATTTTATTCTGAGAATAGCCTTGTAAGGGATTTGCTTTTTTCCACATCTCCATCAAATAGACAGTAATTGATAAAGAGATTATTTTATACAAATAAATTTTATTAAAGTTATGAGCTGAAAGTTTAATGGCTCATGACCTTTATAAGTAAACTTAGGCAAGACTAGGATTTTTAAAATAGATTATAATAGAAATAATGTTAAAATGAAAGGAAGAAAAAAAGACATTTCACAGTATACCATAAGGAGCTCTAAATAGAAATAGTGTGTTGGAAGTGTAAAAAGATAAATCTTAAAACCTCCATGATGATTGCTGTCTAGGTTGATGACATTATCACTTTATTTCAAGATTATTTCCTTTAAGGACTCATAGCGAATAACAATATTTGGCCCAGTCTTAAATTGTTATTTTGATTGAATGACTTGACTTTGAAATTCAGTAAAGAGTTTCAGTTAACTCTGAAATAGATATGCCTGTTTATATTTTAATCTCTGCCTTTGAAAATCAGAGTTCCTTCTTCTAAGAAGCCTTTTTGGGAATCTGACATAGTAGAATGTAGAATTAAATGAATGGTGCTAAAATGGTCATAGTCTGCAAGTTAAAACGAACCATTTGTGCTAACAGTAAACCAGTGCCGTTAAGTAAAACAAAAGGTTCTCATAATTATTAGTATTAAAATGCTACTACATGCATTTAGAAACCAAGACACAAATCAGAAAAAACTAATAATTTGTATTTCAAGCAGCTGAAAACTATTGCTTATCTTTAAGGCCTTCCAAATATTTCTTTCATAACTCTAGCTGCTTTTGATGGTAGGGTTTCCTTGCTTTAAGTATTTTATTTTAAAATGTAAATGGTATTTCATGTATGGAAAAGAAGCCTGCCATTTTTCTTTACAAAAATTTTTTTTTCATCTGAAATAGTGAAGAGTTATAGCAAATTAATGGTATTTCATATTAACTATAAGAATGGATTATTTTAAAACAAAGATGCAAGGGAAAAATTTACTGAGCCATTTAATGAAAGTGATTATTTAAAGTACACATTTTTCTAGAAGACTTTAAGGCTTAGAGACATTATTTTGAGTAATACAACTGCATGTTTAACCTTTAGATTTAGATACTTATTTGTGAGATTTTTCTTTGGTTATAAATCTGAATACTTGTACCTGCTGACAATTATTTATAGGTTTATGAACCACATGAAACACCATTTGGAACTTGAGAAGCAGAACAGTGAGAGCTGGGAAAGCCACACCACCTGCCAGCACTGTTACCGACAGTATCCCACACCATTCCAGCTGCAGTGTCACATTGAGAGCACACACACACCCCATGAGTTTTCTAGTAAGTCACAATTTCATTGAAGTCCTGAACATTAATAATTTTGATCATCTAAACTATGAGGAATACTTAAGCACTCTGATGGAAAAATAGGACTAAGAAATAGAGTTTGTAATTGAAGGCAAAGTTGACAAATTTTAACTTGCAGAAACTTTTTAATAAAAATAACTTACTAAAATTGAAGTCTCTCTTGTAAGTAGAAACTTCCTTGGCATTACTAATGCATTTTATGTAGGAAACTAAATTAGAAAACTCAGATTCCCTGGTTTGCAAATATAAAATCTATGATTTTGACTTACAACTCTAATGATAAAGGTGAAGTTAGACAGCTTGGATTCAGATTGTATCTCTGCTTCTTAATTCAGCTACAAGATCCCGGGCAAGATGCTTAATCTTTCTGTGCCTCAGGTTCTTCATCTGAAAAATGGGGATAAAAATAGCAGTATGTCTCTCAATGATGGGATGAGAATTTTTAAGTAAACTAATATAAGTATAGCCCTTAGAATAGTGTAACAAAGTTAACATCTATAGAATTGTTGTAACCACCATCACTATTACTATTATTTCTCATTGCTGTTGTTACGGATGTACAAAATGAATTTTTTATTTATATACATCTTTAAAATGGTGTAACATGGTTTTTTTCCACTTTCAGCTATTTGTAAAATCTGTGAATTATCATTTGAAACAGAACATACTCTTTTACAACATATGAAGGACACTCATAAACCTGGTGAAATGCCGTATATTTGTCAGGTACACACACATTTTATCATATACTTACATGTTCGTTTAAATTTCCTGTGCCACGAAATAGTCCTTTTGATTTTTTTAACCATCTAAATAAAACATGTTACTAAAAGTGAAGACTCTCTTTAATAATTGAAACTCCCTTGGTTTAACTCATTTATATGGGGGGTGGTGGGTTAGATTTGGCCAGCATCTAATAGTTTACTGACCCCTGTACTAGACAAACAAAATACGCTGCTGGAGAAAGACAAACATATGGACTTTCTTACCAAATAGGGAAGAATAAGACATGTCAGAGAAATAGGAAATGCTCTTAGTTATGAGAAGTTCAACTAAATGCTTTGGGGCTGGTATTTTTCCAGAATTTGAAGTGGTTCCCAATAAGATAGCAAGATAAAGATAAATTGCCTCTGTCATCTCCTGGATGCTATTTAAAATAGTATTCCAAAGAAGAGAATACTCCATTTTATATAGCAAGAAAAATCTTTATAGGACAAGAGGTGTCAGAGTTTGAAAATTCAAGTCAAGATAGGGAGTAGTAAATCTGAAAAGAAGGGATTCTAGTTATGTTTAGGAATATATCCCTAAACTTTGAACGATAACTTTTCTGTTTCAAAGATTATTGTTATTACTTGCAGTAATAGGATTCTTGATTGTATAGGCAGCAGAGCTGAATTAGTAGTATGTAATGTTCCTCTAAACAAATGACTCATCATTGCTACTGTGATGTAATTGCATATCAGTTATAAATTTTCAAGTTAAACTAAACCTTCTTTATATTTCTAGGTTTGCCAGTTTAGATCATCAACATTTTCTGATGTAGAAACACATTTTAGAGCATCCCATGAAAACACTAAGAACTTGCTATGTCCATTTTGCCTCAAAGTTAGTAGAATGGCAACCCCCTACATGAATCATTACATGAAACATCAGGTGAGATTTAGCAGTTCTTGTTTGTTCATTTTGTATTAGTGAAAAGGTATATATATAAAACTTAGAACATTGGTTAGACTTGTTCGAGAAGGAAAGTAAAGTTGTTCCAAATGACACAATTAATTTATAGTTTATGCTGAATTGCTTGTGAAACTTCCACTTCTTTTCCCTGTCTGTTTCCTGGTGATGATGAGGCTCGTAAATAGTGGAAATTTTGAAAGATAGGTAGAAATAGGAACCCTAGAGGGGAAAGGAAGAGGAAATATGAATGAAATATTTAAGTTGGATATTTCAGGGGTCTATAAGTGATGAGAATGGGAAGGATTTTGGAGGTAGTTAATCAGGAGCAAGGAAAAGGTTTAGTTTGAAATGAAGAAGGTAAGATTGAGGACTCTTTCTGTTTTCCTTTTTCTCTTTAAACTTTATTTCTAATTTCTGACCCACTTTTTATTATGAGAAGACATGTGGTTCTTATAAGTTTTTTGTAGCAGCCAGTGACAAAGGAAACAGTAACAACACTTATTTCTAGATATATGAACCATGCCAGGGAATTAAATTTCGTTTTTTTTAACTTGTTTCTAGATGACATTAGCCAGTTCTGCTATGTATTTCTGAGATACCAGTATTAGTGCTTGTACCTTTCCCTTAAATTCTCATTTCATGCTTGCTTGTTCTTTTCCTGACACAATTAGACTATCTTTTATTTGGGCTGAAAACTTTGATGAAATCGTAAGCCAAAAGCAGTGGTATCTTTGCCAAAATCATCAGTCAGTGAATTCACCGAATCTGATTATATAATCAAGTTTTGTCTCCTCACTGATCAGCTCATTACCTTTTCTCATTATTGATTGTATTGTCATGACCAATTTATTCAGCACTGTTGCTAACATTACTTTCATTTCTAGTCATTAGATAATCATGAAATTAACTTATAGTTGTTAATTGTGGAAAATCATAAAAGTAGAATATCCAAATACATTCAGGATCACCTATGTTATGACTGGGATGATACCAACATGCTTATTTTTTTATCCTGGTATGCTATCTCACCCTAAGAACCTCAGGTGAAATCTTTCCATTCTAGGGTTTCCCCACCAGTGTTCCATTAGATGTTAATAAATGTTCTGCTGTAAAATTGTTTCTGGAAAAAGAAATTCAGTAAATTTCTATTTACAAAATTAATAGTTTTTGTTTATTTTTTAAATAAGACTTTTCAGAGCTTTAATATACTAAGAAAACATAAATCTCTAAGCAAGGGATATTGCTTATTTGACCATTGAACCCTTTATTTGCTCAATGCCTATAATCATTTTTTGAGGAATAGAGTTTGGGAAACACTGGTCTTAATGCTGTATATTTCATCTTTGACTTTTGATTTGGAAAGAAGTATGAGATATAAAGCTGTAGCTCTGACTATTTCATTATGAAGCTTTTAACACAGTTCTTTCTCCCATGCTTTACTAAGCCCCAAGTGCGGAGGGTGTAATATATACTTAGAAAGATAAGAAAGATGGTTGGGTCTGCTACGTGGACTGTGTCTCTTAAGAAATTTACCTTGCTGTCCCATAGTCACTGTTTATACCCTGAGTTATATTTTTTAACATGCCATGTGTATAGGAAAGAGTCAACCCAGCAGATCTGAATTGCTCACATCATGCACATTTTCAGAAGGGTCTACTTGAATAACTGGCTCTTGGTTAACTCCTGATTATGATGAACACATGCTTTTCTTCTGGGAGTCTGAAGATTTGGTGACTGAACCCCATTTAAAAAAAAAAACTCTGGGCTCTTAGACCCAAGAAAGCTTCCCTGGCTAATAAAACACTTTATACATGTTGCTGGGAGAGGGTTATTAAAAGTGTCCTGTGCAACTCCATTGGGAAAAGGCACTTGGAAACTGGTGCCAGTATCCTCCAGACTCTACCCAATACACTTTTTTCCTTTGTTAATCCTATTCTGTATCCTTTCACTGTGATAAATCAGAGCTGTGAGTATAACGACTTCTAAGTCTTATAAGTCCTCTTACTGAAGCTTCAAACCTGGGAGTAGTCTTGGAGACTACTGACACACCTTGGTGCCCACGTCTTATGTAAGTTTAGAGTACATAAGAGGTAGGTAATCGGCAGTCAATAGAGGAAAGACTATTAATAAGAAAGATCATCAGGCATCCTTCAAAGTATTTGCAATTTATATAATTGTTCACAAAAGACTTGAAAACTATAGCAAGATTATAAGCTTGTAACAGATGATATTAGTGCGATTTTAGGCCATAGGAATTATTGAATCTATGGCCAATTTTATTCTTTTTGAAGATTTTGGTTGTAACCTTTTCCTAAAAAGAATAGTCTTGAGTGATTTTAGAGTTAACAATACAGTTTGTACAACTTTTAAAAGGATGAAGGATTTCAGATGTTTTAAATAGCCTCGTTATATCTTTATAATGATAACAAGCAGTTAACATATTAATCACTTGCTGTATTGCAATTACTAGTTCTTTTACTTGTATTATCTTATTTAATTCTCACAACTATGTGAACGTTTTTCGTTTCATAGATGAGGAAACAAAGCTTAATAGAGAATAACTTGCCCAATGTCACATTCTCTAATAAATGGCAGAGCCAAAAATTCACTTAGCACCCAGCTTTTACCACAGAGTCATATTCTTCACTGACATTAGGTCTAAAGGCAGATTTACAGATAGTTGGAATTAGCCTTGAAAATCCTCTCAGATCACCCAAACAGTATAGTATGCTTGTCAAATAGTTTAACACAATTTTTCTTTATCCTTGGAAAGATCACTATTGTTTTTGATTGAACATCATGTTATTTTAAAAATGTACTTTATTATCGTCATCCTTAGCACATCACAAACATGCATGCGTAAGAGGGATGTGTAAGACTTGACTCCAACTAAAAGAAGAGTGGATAAATGTTTCACATCTCAGCTCTGGGCAAATGCTTACTGAATGGAATGGCAGACATTTTGAAGTAATTCAATTGTGCCTTCTCATGTGCACTCTTGTCAGTCTCTTGCTGTCTACTTCATTATTTATTTAACAAATATTTATCGAGTGCCTAATATATGCCAAGGACTGTTTTATAGAAGTGAACAAAACAAGGTTTGTTCCCTCTGGAATTTGCATTATGATGGGGTGAGAGAGAGAGACGTCTGAATGTGTATATGTGCCAGCTGGTGATAAGTACCATGGGAAGAAAATATAGGATATAGAGTGTCAGCACTTAGAAGGGGAAGGAATAGTTTCTGTATTTTTATATGGGGATATCAAGGAGGGCCTTTCCAAAAGAAATAAGGAAGTAAGCCATATGGATATCTGGAAGAGAATGCTCCAGGGAGAGGGAACAGTAAGTAGGCAGTGAGATAAGCATACATCTAGATGTTCAAGGAGCAGCAAGGACCCTAGTGTTGCTGGAACACAGTAAACAAGTGGAAGAGTAGCAAGAAATGAGGTTGTAGCAATAGAATGTAGGGCACGTGGTGTAGGGCTTCGTAAGCCAGAGTCAGGATTTTGGAGTATTATGGGAAGCCATTGGAGGATTTAAGCATGTTAGCATTAGAATAGACTATTGGGAAGTAAGTAGAAACAAGGAGAACATAGGCTATTGCAAGAGTCCAGGTAAGTGACTTGGTCTGATATGGTGGCAGTGGTTAGAGGTGATGAAAAGTGGAAAGATTATATTTTTGAAGGTAGAGTTGATAGATTTTATTAATGGGCTTGATGTGGGGTGTGAGAGAAAGAGAAGAGTTAAGATTGACCAACTTTTTTGTCCTGGGTATCTCCAAGAATGGTGTTGCAATATACTGAGATATTGGGAAGAGGAAGGAACAGATTTTTTTGAGGGGTCAAGGTGGATGGGGAAAAGTCTAAAGTTCAATTTTGTTCATGGAGATTTGAAACGCCTAGTAGATATCAAGTAATGAAGTTGGGTAGGCAGTTGGATAGATGCTATTTTAAATCATGAAACTGGATGAGGTATAGGTACAGGTAGAGAAAAGATTTCGGGAAATTATACTCTTGGGAACTCTCTGTCCTGTTAACCTTGCTATCTGTTTCTCAACTTGTTTTTTTCGAAAGAAGCAGACACTCAATACTGATTTTTGCTTCATTTTCAGATATAATTTCTTTGAATTCTACTCCTTCCAGGAAGTTTTCTTGTTTCACTAAGTAAAGATAATGAGGGCAGTCATGATTTAATGCCATTTTGGCATCTGTGTTACAAGAAAATCAATAAACATCTTGTTCATTGTCTTATTTTTAAGAAAGAGATCTGCTTTAACAATTAACTTATTCTCTTTCCTAATTATTTTTGTATTTGTCAATGTCTCTCTCTTGAGCACATAGAGGTGAATCTGTTTACGTTTCCTGTACCTATGATAAGATCCGATGCACCATACTTCTAAAATAGCTTTAAGGTGAAACTAAACTAGTAATATAAACACTTTATTTATTTATTGCTTCGAACTTTGTAAAGAGCTTTTATTTATCAAATGCCTGCCGTGCACCAGAAACTGCTAGGTACTTTCATATGTTACCTCATTTGATATTCCTAAATGATTATTTGTGTTTTAAATGTAAATAGTGATGGGCCTGTAGAGATACAGCTTTAGAAAAATCATTCTTTTGTATTTGTATGTCATTCTAAATTTACATAGAAATATAAAATATATTTTTAATTAATAAGAGCATATACATAAAGATTATAATTGATAATAACTAATAATTGAATACTAACCAGCTATGAGCTAGTGACTTAGATTTCTCATGGGTCCTATTTCCCACTCATAAAATATTAATAGGACTGGGTTTGAGAAGGGACACAGTCAAGGGGTTCTCAAACAGTAATGCTGATTTATGCTTCTATACCCATACTGTACATTATCATAGGCACTAGCCCCATGTGTCTATTTAAATGTAAATTAGTTAAAAATAAGTAAAATTTAAAAATCAGTTTCTCTGTTGCACTTGCCACATTTCAAGTGCTCAATAATTACATGTGGCTAGTGGACACCATATTGGACAGTGCACCTATAGAACATTATCATCACTGTAGAACGTTCTATCGGACAGCACTGCTTTATACAACCATTTCTATAACAACTTTCTTGGGAGAGTCTGGATAAATCTGTTTTTAGAAAGTTTAATTTATTTTACCAACTTAAGAACAAATGGAAATAACAATAATTAAAAAGAATTTGTTATGTTCAAGGATAAAAATACAGTATAGCTTATTTTCATAGTTTGTGTTTGAATAGTTTATACTTCAAATTTAAATTTAGAAATTGTCAACTCTAATTGAAAAATAAAAATTAAAAAAAAAGTTTTTACCCTACAAATGGTATAGAACTTGTCTCATTGGATCCTAATTGACATAATTTTCCTGTTGATTGCCTATATAGTAACAAATACTTTTAACTATTAGATTTAAGAGCAATTTCAAGTCCCAGGATTTATGGCAGTAGAGATTATTATTTCTAATACTATTTCTAATGTTATTTGTAAACAGAAAAAAGGAGTTCATCGTTGTACAAAATGCAGACTACAATTTTTGACCTGCAAGGAGAAACTAGATCACAAGACCCAGCATCGGACATTTATAAAACCTAAAGAGCTAGAAGGATTGCCTCCTGGTACAAAAGTGAGTTTTAAATATGTTGTATTTTAACATTTTGTGTGATAATAGAAATAAACTACTGCTTGGCTTTATCTATTGAATATAATATTAAAAGTTGATTGTCATTAAGATTTTAATTTTAGGTTTTCTCTTATGTTTGATAAGAGTTGATTGACATGTGTTATATTAGAACATATTCCTGTGCAGTGAGTACAACTAGATTAACTGTAGTCAGCCAGTCGTTTCAATATTCCATAGGTTGTTTTTGAGCTATTCCAGTTGGCAACATGTAAGTCTGCTTCAGTCACTAGACTATAAGGCCAGAAATCATGTTTAATTTATCTTTGCGTCTCCAGCATCAGTCATAGTGCCTTGAATGCCATAGTTTGTTGAAGTTGATATTACTGAGTCTACTCCTAGAGAAGCAAATTCTGTTCCAGAATAGCATTGCTGTTTTAAGTGAGCCAACACATCTGACTGCAAATTTCCTTTCCTCTATTTTCCTTATGTGCATCTGTATTCTCTAACTTTATGGAAAGTCGGCTCTTGACTATGCCTCAGTGGATAGATGCATAATCCAAAGTGAGGAATTCTCAAATACATATATTTGGCTTTGAGTACTTACTTTTGAATGTATGTCTACTATTTGAATTAAGTAAAATAATGTAAAGCAATGCTCTGAAGATGTAGAACAAAAAAAGCTATCCAGTATCCTTCTCTGCAATCCATTCATTCTGTGCTGGGACTAGACATGCAGAATACTAATGTAAGCAGTGCAGTGCAGTCCTCTCTCATATCTTCCCTTATTAGTAGTAATAAGTAGCATGTTACATTATAATATCATTATACTATTAATCATGATTGGTACTAGTACTTTAGAATTAAGCTTTCAGTGTGATTTTTCATACATTGTATTATTTAATCCATGTAGCAGTTCAATGAGGTAGACAAAGCAGGTATTACTCTCATATTATAGATGAGGAGACTTGGCAAGGATAAGTTGCTTACTCAAGGTCACATAGCTAGGAAGGGGTAGTATTGAGATTTAATCTGGGATCTTTTGACTCCTAATTTAGTTCTTTTTGTATTATACATGTATTACATAGGACTTCCTCATTGGCTGCTCCTCAAATATGTGGGGATAGTATAGTCAAATGATTAAAGAGAATGTAAACAGGCAACTGTTTTACATTATTAACCAATGGGTATAATTGAACATTTTCTTTTTCTAATACTAAATGATAAATTTTATATTATCTCCCTTTAAGGAAATTTTGAATATTATAACTCTCTATGCTGTATGATGAATTGATGTAACCTCCACAGTAACCTTTGGAACCATAAATCCTGCCCAATGAGCCCCCAGGGAGCACAGGTCACATTTACTAGAGATCTGTTTTATAGTTACCAAAGGGTAATACAAGCCTTTTGAGAGTGACTATTTCAGGCTTTGAGATTTCAATTTTGGCCTCTGTATTTGTGAAAGCTATTTAGTTATATCAGAGCATAAAATAGCCATGGAATGTGCTTTTTTGGTATTCATATAATTTGCACTAACTTCTAATTATCGATTAATATCTGCGTTAACATATAAATAGTATCGATACAAAACTAATATTATAACAGTTAATAAATATTGAGGTAAATTTTATTTAATTGGTATGACCATTTAGAGTAAATGGAAGACTTAACTGATTGTAGTTTAAACTTGCTGTTTTCAAAGTAATGATGTTTAACTTTTTGTATTGCAGTGTTTTTTGAAACAGCTTTATTGAGATATAATTCATATACCGCACTATTCACTCATTTAAAGTGTATAATTCGATGTTATTTAACACATTCACAGAGTTGTGCAAACATCAACACAATCCATTTTAGAATGTTTTCACCACCCCGAAAAGAAACCTCATACTCATTAGCAGTCACTCCCTATTTCCCTTCCACCATGGCCAGGCAAACTTTAATCTATTTTCTGTCTCTATGGATTTTCCTGTTCTAGATATTTCATATAAATGGAATCATACATTATGTGATTTTTTTATGACTGGCTTATTTCATTTAGCATAATATTTTTCAGGTTCATCATATTGTATTTTATATCAGTATTTCCTTTTTATGGCTGTATCAGTACTTATATGTATCAGTACTTCATTCTTTTTATGGCTGAATATTATTACATTGTAGGGGTATACAATATTTTATTTATCCATTCATCAATTGATGGGTATTTGGGTTGTTTCCAATTTGAGGCTATAAGAATAATGCTCCTATGAAAATTTATGTGAATGTAGTTTTTCATTTCTCTTGGGTGGAATTACTAGGATGGAATACCTAGGAGTGGAATTGCTGGGTTATATGATAACTCTTCTGTTTAACATTTTGAGGAACTGCCGAACTGTTTTCCAAAGCTGCTGTACCATTGTACTTTCCCACCAGCAATATATGAAGGTTGCAATTTCTCCACATCCTTAGCAACACTTGTTATCATTTGCCTTTTTTATTATAGCAATTCCAGTTGGTCTAAAGTTACATCCTATTGAAGTTTTGATTATATTTCTTTGATGAGTAAAGATGTTGAGCATCTTTCCATGTGCTTATTGGTCCTTTGTACATCTTCTTTGAAGAAATGCCTGTTCAGATCATTTGCCCATTTTTAAATTAGGTTATTTGTCTTTATGTTGAGTTGAAAGAGTTCTTTATATATTCTATACACAAATCTCTTATTAGAGATATGATTTGCAAATATATCTCTACGTCTTTTCATTTTCTTAATGGTGTCCTTTGAAGCATAAAAGTGTTAAATTTTTATGAAGTCTAATTTATCTATTTTTTTTTTGGTTGCTTGTGCTTTTGGTATCATATTTAAGAAATCATTGCCTAACCCAAGGTCCCATAGATTTACTCCTGTTTTCTCTAAGAGTTTTATAGTTTTAGCTCTTGCAGTTTGGTCTTTGCTACATTTTGAGTTCATTTTTTGTATCTAGTATGAGGTAGGGATCCAAACTTATTCTTTTGTATGCAGATATCCAGTTGTCCCAGCACCATTTGTTAAAACAGTTGTTTCCCCCGTTGAACTGTTTTGGCACCCTTGTCAAAAACCAACTGACCATAATGTAATGGCTTGCAGTGATCTTTTTAATATTAGTGTAATGATTAATTTTCAAAAATATATATTGCCTTCATTTTTATAGGTTACTATTCGAGCTTCATTTGGACCTCTTCATTCAAAGACATCAACTGCATCTTCCAATAATACTCCAAGCACTTCTTCTCTTCAGGTCTCACCTCCTAGGTCTAAAAATACAACTGCGAAAAGTTCCACAAAATCTAATGCAAGTAAAACTAAGACACATAAGGCTCATGCAACTACATCCACTGCAAGTAAACCTAATGCAAGTAAGCAGGGTAAAGGTACATCCAAATGCAAAGCAAAAACTTCTTACAAGCAAAAGAAACAACGCAACAGAAAGAACAAAATCAGCATAGCTTTGAAGAACTTACGGTAATATCTTTTATTCCTGATTTACAATGTCAATTGAATATTAAATATTAAAGGTTTATTTTAATATAATTTACCATATCACAAAACTCCCTCGCACATTTATGTGATAATCACTTATCTGGCATAAAGGCCAAGCAGATAGGTACTTTTTACAACTGCTGAGAAGAACTTGAATTACTGTGTTTATTGTATTATTGTCATCTTTTACACTAATCTTATATTTTGTGTTTATATCTTGTGATAATTGAATTGGTTAATATTATCCTTTTTATTCTAGAGAAAGGTTAACTGGTGTTAGCATTTTAACACTTATCCTAACTTGTTGTTTCAAAACAAATTTTCAAATTATGAGTCTCTATTTAAAGATGTTAACCACCCTAGTTTCAATTAATAAAATGTTGGTAAGGTTTTGCCTTATTATTTTTGCTTTACAATATTTTTTTCATTTTTTCTGTCTCCATAAGGTGTCATCGAGGACTTCATAAGTGCATTGAGTGTCATTCCAAAATAAAAGATTTTGCAAGCCACTTTTCAATATATATCCACTGTAATTTTTGCAAATACAACACTAACTGTAACAAAGCCTTTGTAAATCATATGGTGAGGTGAGTTAAACATATATACTGCTGGTCAAAACTGCCAGTCAAGATGTTTGCTTTTTTAAAGCAAATTTGTCCTCTTAGAAACCAGTTTGTCACCTCAGGGAACTAAAAGGATCTAGCAATAGAGAACTTTTAGGATATTACCCAATACTATTTTCCAGCATAATAACTGATGAAATTATTAGAACAAAAATTTTAAGGCGTTAGACTAATTAAATTAGAATAAATTTATTAGGGAAATTTATTTTTCCAAGTCTTTCAAAAAGTGGTTATTTTCAAACAAAATGTTAAATATTTTTAACATATTTATCAAATAAACACATGTAACCACATGAGCAGTCACTTTGAGAGTGACTTTGACTCCAGACTTGTCAAAGATGCTAATTACATTATTGGCGCACGCATATGTGTACTCCATCTCTTTCTCTCATTCCCTTTTTTTCCCTCCCTTCCCTCCTCCCACCTCTCTCATCCATGTCTTTCAAGTCATTCATCTTTGCATTCATTCAATAAAATGAGAAATGAGAGGCTATAGGGCTATTCCAGTCATGATGCTACTGTTGGAATTTCTTTTCATACATTAATCCAATTTACATTATTTGAGCACCTACTATATACTTTATGTTAGAAAAAGACTTTAAAGCCCACATTACTTTCATTTGGACTTTATTTGTAGGCATTTCCTTCAGTATGGATTTTTTTTCAATAGATAAAAAATTGTTCAGATATAAATGTGCTAAGTTTATTATTCAAATTAAGGTAGTTTTATTTTTAGTCAGAAATAAGGTATAAACAATAAAAGTGGCTTACTTATAAATCATAGCAAGACCTCTATGTGTTTTTATGGTCATAGTTAGCTACCACTTTCAAGGATTTGCCCACATTTTTTTATGGCTTCAGCACTTGGTTTACAGGGATTTTTTTCCCCTCGATAATCAGCTGACCTCATGGTACCTTGACTTCTTTAATGCTGACATTTCACATCCACCTCTGACATGTTATACTCCTTTCCTTACCACTATCTCATTTTACTTCATCATACACAATATTCATTTTTTGAATTCTCATTAATTACTCATGACTTTCAGAGTTTTGACCCCTCTTTCTAGTCCAACAGCACCATTCCAACTTTATAGACAACCTCACCCTCCAGGTCATCTGTTTTGAATGTTCTTTGTTTTTGTCCTGTTATAGCCCTTTACATCTTTAGTCATGTTTAACCTTGCTACCCTTGACTCTCTTGTCCTTTTTGATCTGTCTCTATGCTCAGTTCTAGACTACCAAACTGTGGTTGATTTAATCAGCTCTGAATCGATGGTCTTTAACTTTAATTTGGTCCTGTCTTTTTAAAAAAAAATACATCTTTGTTTTTATCTACAAGATCTGTTTAAGTCCTTTTCAGTACCCTCAGGATTCTATTCTAGTTTCTCAGTTGTTAGCCTTGCCTCCTAATTACTGAGGTCATCCTTTCCATTTTTCACAAGATTAACTGTTTTCTACCTCAAGTTTTTCCCTTCATTCAGACATTAATCTCAGAAAAGACATGTCCCATGTCCCATTTTTGCAGAGTTAACCCTGCCTCTAATCTCCTCCATTTCCTTTATAGCAGAGTATTCTTTACTATCTTATTTGTCATTTCTTTACCCTTTGTCATCTGAGTATCACCTCCACCTATCAGTTAAAGTTGCCCCGTTAACAGTTTTCAGTCGTACTCCTCTGTGACTTCTGTAGAGCATTTGATAGCTTTGATCATTAGCTTTTTTAAATTAAATTTGTTGGGGTGACATTGGTTAATAAAATTATATAAGTTTCAAGTGTACAATTCAATAATAAATTATTTGTATGTCGTGTTGTGAGCATTCACTTTTAAAACTATTTTCAACTTCTTTTAAACTGTTACTGCCATTTTTTAAACTTCTTCGGCTACTTTTCCATTTCATTACTTTTTTTTTTTCTGTTTGTCTCCCCACCATATTGAAATATAGTAGACAATTAGTTGCTCATATTTACATTGTATAATTGAATGAGATTTTTTCCAATTATAGTTGGCATACAATAATATATTAGTTTCAGTTGTACACCATAGTGATTAGAGCTCAAGTGATTACCCCACTAAATCTAGTACCCTTCTTCCCCCTTACATATTTATTACAATATTGTTGACTATTTTTCTTATACTACACTTATACTACAAATGACTATTTTGTAACTATCCAGTTGTATTTCTTAATCCCTTCACCCTTTTTTACCATCCCCCAATCCCCTCCTCTCTAGTACCCCTCAGAAAATTCTCTATTAGTTTTTTTTGTTTTTGTTGTTATTACTGTTGTTTATTTTCTTCTTTAGTTTCTGCATGTACGTGAAATCACATGATATTTTTCTTTCTCTATATAACTTCATTTAGCACAATATCCTCTAGGTCCATCAAGGCAATATATTTTTCCATCCCCTTCCTTTTAGTCTTTTAATCCGAGGTGAGTCTCTTGTAGGTAGCATATGTAGGAGTCTTGTTTTCTTATCCATTCAGCCACCCTATCTTTTGGTTGAAGCACTTAATTCTTTTCCATTTGAGTTACTCGTTGATAGGAATGTAGTTATTACCATTCTTTATTCCTGTTTTTGATACATGTTTTTTCTTCTTAAAGAAGTCCCTCCAACATTTCCTGTAATACTGGCTTGGTGTTGATGATTTCCTTTAGCTTATTTTTGTCTGATAAGCTCTTTATCTGTTTTTTGACTCTAAATATAGCTCTGCTGGATAAAGTATTCTTGGTTGTAGATCCTGGGTTTTCATCACGTCGGATATTTTGTGCCAAGCCCTTCTGTCCTGCATAGTTTCTTTTGAGAAATCAACTGCCAGTCTTATGGGTGCTCCCTTGTAGGTAACTAACTGCTTTTCTTTTGCTGCTTTTAAGATTCTCTCTTTGTCTTTACCTTTGGCATTTTAATTATGATGTGTCTTGGTGTGGGCCTCTTTGAGTTTCTCTTTCTTGGGACTCTCTGAGCTTCCTGGGGTTCTATGTCTATTTCCTTCACCAGGTTAGGGAAATTTTCCATCATTATTTCTTCAAATAGCTCTTCAACTTCTTGTTCTCCCTTTCCTCCTTCAGGTACCCCTATTACGTGGATGTTTTTGCATTTAATGTTATCCCCAAAACTCCTTAAATTATTATTATATTCTTCACTTTTTTTCCTTGCCATTCTTATTAGATGACCTTGGCTTCCCCATCCTCTATATTTGTGGTTCGATCGTCTTCTTCATCCATTTTGTTAATCCCCTCTAATATACTCTTCATCTCAGATAATGTATTATTCATTACCAGCTGGTTCCCTTTTATAATTTCCACTTCCATTTTTTGTTTTTTATCTCTTTGTTAAAGTTCTCACTGCATTCATCTACCCTTCCCCTAAGTTCACTGAGCATCTTTATAACCGGTATTTTGAACTCTGCATCTGTTAGATTGCTTGACTTCATTATTTCTGGATCTCCGTTCTTTTCTCTCATGGATTCTGCTGCTTTGTCTTCCAGTTTTGGCTGTCTTTCAGTATATGTCTCTATGTACTAAGCAAATCTCTTAAGTCTCCCAGTCTTATTAGCATGGCTTTGCGTAGTAGGTGTCCAGAGGCACAGTACTGAGAGGGATTCAGCAGCAGGCCAGTTTTAGCCTCAGCCTGTCTCCCTTCGAGACCACCTGTTAAGATTCAGCAAGCAGTCTACAGATGCTGTGCTTATAGTTGCCTCAAGAAACAACATCAGAAACTGAGGTCAGCTGCCACCAATGTGGATCTTGGAGCTTGCTCTACAGGTTGCACAGGACATGCTAAGGACACAACTGGATGTGGCTTGGGTGGGGCCATAAGGTGAGAGAGGTGGAGTTTCAGGGAATCCTCTGGTCAGAGTGACCTCTGTTATTCAGTTTCATGCTGTCTCAGCTATGACAGCATTGTGTCCACACACTGGGAGTGGGGAGAGCTCACCAGAGGAATAATGGATACTGCCAGTACTTCTGTCCAGAAAGAGCCTCACCTCTGGCCCTCACCCTGACATCTTAGTGTCCCCCTGTAAGTCCCTGGTGCCCCGCATTCAGCCAACCTGGGGCTGGTGCTCATAGCGAGAAAGTTCCTCACTGCAAAAGTCTGCTTGTGAACACAACCTCTTTTGAGACATCTGTGGCTGGCAGCTGCCACTGCCGTAGCCTCTGTCCCACTTAGCCTCTGGGGACTGGGCAGCCTCGCATCCTTGCCCTGTCCTACCTCCTCCCATCGCAAGGTGATTTCTTGGATTTCTCCCTAGTTGTATGTCTTGTCCATCTAGATCCCAGGCAATTTTTCCTTGCTGCTGCTCCTTGTTTCTGTCACAATTGTGATTTGGTCACCAGAGGGATGAACAGGACCTCTATCATCTACACCATTTTTTATTTTTGGTTTTTACTTGGGCTTTTTTTGATTAGTCAGTATGCTCTATATTTTTTCATACATTTAGTTTTAATTTATGTATCTTTACATTTAACGTGGGTTTCTTGCAGACAGGGTATAGTTGGATCTTGTTTTTTTGATGCACTCTGTCAATCTCATTCTTTTAATGGTGCATTTAGACCATTGCAGTTCAAAGTGATTATTGAAATAGTTGGATTAACATTTATTCATTACTGTTCTCCCCCTGGAAGTCCCTGTTTCCCCTCACACAGCTGACCAGGCGCTGGTGCTCAGAGCGAATAGGTTTGTCACTGCAAAAGTCTGCTCATGGTCATGGCCCCTTTAGAGGTTTCTGCAGCTGATGACTTCTACTATTATGGCCTCTGTCTCACTCAGCCGCTTGAGACTGGGCAGCCTCGCATCCTTGCCCTGTCCTACCTCCTCCCATTGCAGGGTGATTTCTTATTTCTCTCCCTAGTCATAGGGCTTGTTCATCTAGACCCCAGGCGACAGCTTGCTGTTTGCTGCATGTTTCTGTCACAACTTCGATATAAAAGAAGATGAACAAAACCTCTATCATCTATGCTATTTTGAATTCTTTTTTCTATTTCATTACCTTTTGTTTCTTCAACTCTTGTTTCTTTACATTTCCTTTCTTGGTATCTTAACCACTCTCAGGATTTTATCTTTTACCTCTCAACTGTAAATCCTTGAATTTCAATGCTGAGTTTACCTGAGATCCAACTCTTTATTTTAACTATTTGATAGATATTTTAACCTTTGACTCACTAGCATCTATAAAGAACACAAGTCAAAAACATTATTGTCTGTTTAGAATTCAAACTATCACCTAATATCCTTTAAGCTCAGTCTGTCTTAAGGCATCATTTGCATAAATGTGGAGCATCATCTAAAAATAATACACTTAAAGTTTCTGAAGCCTGTGTTCTCTTGATCTTCCACCATTCATCATGGCTTCCTGAGGATCCATCTTGCACAGTTTAACACTCTGCCTCCCAGTTACCACAGTGGTTCTGCACCCATACCCGGTTGCTCTAAACCATGTCCTCGCTAACCTTTCTCTCAATATACTGCTGGGAAGAATGCTGGTCTCTTATTCTATACCAAACACATGACTGCCCCAATAGGGCTTTAATTCTGCCCCTAATTTATAGAAGATTAAATTGGAAAATATTTTTGGTGTTTCTTAAACCCATGGGTCGTTCTGTCCACCCCTTTTACATTCCCCATAGGCTCCTCAACCATCTTCTAGGATTTCTAGCCCCATTCTATCTCAAAATATTTCCAATTGGCCCCAGGCTTCCTTCATAAACTTTTCCCAATTTCCAGTGAGCCCCAACCTCACCCTGCATTGTCATTACAAACTGAGCACTTACACGTTGTTAGCCTCATATAGAACTGACTTCTACTTCTAGTCTTCTAAAGGCCTTGTAGGTCTCTACATTTCCCCTACTTCTATGGTACCTTGCTTTCCTTGTTGCCTCAGCTACCTGCCCCTTAATGGTACACTCTCACTCTGACCCAGTTGAACTTTTGCCATATGCTTGAACTCTGTGCATACAGAAACTTCATTTTCTCAGGGGTTGAGTACCTTTAAACTTTCTCAACGTATAGTTCATTCTACATT